TAAACTATAAATGATAGTCTCACAATTTAAATTTTGTTGGTTTATGTTTGTATTTAAAATGGTTTGTATTTAAAATGGTCAGGATCTACAATTTAGGATTTAGCAATAATAACTGATAAAATAGAATTTGTAAAGTTATAAGCCAATAGCTGTGCGAGTCAAAGAAAATTTTCATAATGTCAGAGAAATTGCAAAGGAAATACCAACAGATAGGTTAGAAAGTTCTTCCTCAGGAAAAAAAAAAAAAAAACAAGCTGAATATTCTAAAACGAATATGAACATAAAACTTTTGAAGCTATTCGAACAATGTAAAATTCAAATATCCAAATTTTTAAACACTCCACGTAAACGGATACGTTAAAAAATCTGGACATTTGAATTTTACATTGTTTGAATAGCTTCAAAAGTTTTATGTTCATATTTGTTTTAGAAGATTCAGCTTATTTTTTTTTTGCCCGAGGAAGAACCCAGAAGGGATTAGGAAAATGTTTGATTTCTAAGTGATATTTCATATTACGCAGCGGTTAAAGGTTCACATAAGTTAAATATTTTGTTAGAAACATACAGTCAACCCCCCCCTATAACACAGGTTCTTATAGTTCAGATTCCTATATCACGGTGAAAAAATTGCGACAGTATTCGTACAAACATGCTAAAAAAACTCCTATAATTTGGTAAAACGTCATCGCCGACTCGTGTCGCGACAGGATTGCACAAACCATTGAGTTTAAATGAGCAGCGAACCTACCAAAAACCATTTATTATTTAATGTCCATAAAAATTATATTTATATTAATGATGTCTCTAAAGTTCAGTGAATTTTTCACAAAAAAAATAATTTATCAGGAAGCACGCGAGCGCCATTCAATGACAATCTCCATGACAAAAACAAGCTTAAGCAAAGGCGCAGTCGAACAATGCACACTCGGTAAGTAATCCTACAATTTTTTGTTTATAGCATAGTTTATATGGATTATTCCCAAAAAATTATACGTATTTTGGAAATGTTGAGTCAAATTAGTCTAGAATCGNAGTGCACACTCGGTAAGTAATCCTACAATTTTTTGTTTATAGCATAGTTTATATGGATTATTCCCAAAAAATTATACGTATTTTGGAAATGTTGAGTCAAATTAGTCTAGAATCGATTAATTTTATGGAAGAAACCTTTCAAACAGCCGTAGTCCGTAAACTGCATACATGCCTGGCTGTGATTGGCTGGACTCCTAGAAGCTGGATTCATAAAAACAGGAACGTATCTACCGTGTTATAGGGGGGTCGACTGTATATCATTGGAAAGAAAAATTGAAAAGGAATCAGAAATGCCCAAAATGACTAATGCTGAACAATGCAGATTGTATATAAAGCATAAGAAAACCAAGAATGTCAACTCTTACACAAATACTTCAAGTGCGCTGCCACAAACTGATAGATATTGACTTGGAATGTGATAACCAACAAGACTTTATTCATTTACATCTTATCCTTCCTCTAATAATGCAAAGACTGATTCACACCCTAAATGATTGTGATTGTGTCCCGTACACAACCATCCCAATTTTTTTGACCTGCACATCTGGTTAACCATTTGCAGTTAGTTGATCCCATGGGGGAAGGCAAAGAACCATCAGTCAGCTTAACGATGTTCTGTACAGGAAATTTTGGACCGCATGGCAGACCTCACACAATTTATGTATTTTTATTTGTTGTATTCTTCTCTGCTGGCCACATGTAGTATGTGGAGATAATAATCCTGCCAATTTTGATGGACTGATGATCTGTGATGTCTTCTCTCTAACTGGAAATTTTTGTCTTCAGTTGGCCCGTGGAATTTTGGAAGTCCACATTTTTCGAAAGTATACTAAAATATTACCATAGAGTTAAAGTCAGATTTTCAAAAACATGAACAACAACCTGCTATCATGCCAAAACTTTTCTGCTTCCACTATAAGTTTCAAGAAGGGATGGGAAGATATGTAATGACCTTGAAAGGGTCCACATTAGACCAAAAATAGCATGCAATAAACTATTTCTCCGTCTCGCAGAGTATGTGATTTCTTCTGTTTAAATTATTTTGAATTTACCACCTACTCACTTTAAGACTATTTGATTTTATGATGCAATGCAAATATTTTTCTTATTTAAATAAAATTTACAAATTAAATTAAATCATGAAATTATTTATATAATGTAGAAATAATGTAGCTAATTACATAATTGATTTTATGCCAAGTTTTTCATTTTTGTAAATAAATAAAGTGTTTTTAATAAAATTTTAAAAACACTTTATTAAAATAAAAAATTTTATATAAATAAAAAAATTTATATAATTGTGTACAAAATGGGCTTAAATAGACTTGGCCAAATAATTACGTAATGGAAAGGAGAAATGCCGAGACATTAATACGTCAGGGAATAATGTCATAATTGGTCAGGAAAAGCAGGGAATCAAAGATCGAATTACCTGTATGGCTCTTGTATATAAAAGTCTCTTCTTAGAACAAAATTATTGTGACATTGTCACAATGCAGGGCTGCAATTTTTGATCATATTTTATAATTTAAACTAAGCTTTCCATATCTGGTTTAGATTTTAGTAGTATCTTGCCTCTGTGCATCATACTTCTCCTGATAACAATTTAATCATGCCAGTCATCCATCTAACTTCATTGAGAAAATTTTGAATTGAAATTACGTGACTTCCAGTCCAGACTGAAAGTTTGTATATAATTAATTGGGGTCTCCAGCCCCTAAGCTTTCCATATTGGTCTCAATTTTTATCTATGTAATTCCATTCTTGAGATTAACAAATGATACAGATGATGGCAATGGAAATGTATAAGTTTTCAATTTCAAAATTGCAGCCCAATAGTATATAATGCTAAAGAATCAAAATTGCACTTCTGTGACAACAGTATTGTTAGTCCTAAAGACAGAATGGAAAGACTGAAAGTATTAGGATTTAAGTGAAATTTCTCACTTTGATCCCCAAAAAAAAGCAGATAACTGAACATATTATATAATTAATTTGCAAATGCCAAATTCATGTGATAATGAAAATATATAGTAAGAATGTAAAATCATTTCATAAAGTTACATTATAATAATTTAATATCTGGTTTAACTATTATAAAAATATTTAAAAGTTTTTGCATGTTAATAAGAAATATTTTAAAATTGTGAAAATTTTCTGTTTTAGAATGATCACTGTATAAATTAAACTTATAATTTAAATTTTGAAATTATTAAAAATTAATTTAGATTAATTAATTATGAAAAAGTAGAAACAATCTGTAAATTACTTTTTATGTATATTCAATCAAACTATCACCTTAATCAATCAGGCTATAAATCCACTATTATTAATGATTTGATACTAAGTAATTCAGTACAAAATGATTAGATACTACATTTTGATGATATGAAACCGTGCTTTGCAATTCGTTTATGCTTCTAACACAATAAAGTGCTATAAATTAAGACACTTGGCGGGTTGTCTCATCTTTATTTAGTTGATACGTGTCATCAAAAATTTAAAGAAGATGAAGGCAGAACTACACCAGAACAGCGCATACAAAAAAGAAAAATTACAAGGTGAGATAGAAAAAACTTTAATTGATTTACAATATCTAAGAATACACTTAAAAGAACGAAAACCTCTAAAGACACTTTCTTTACCAAAGTCGATTGCTGAAAATATCCCAACACGTGACAGGAAATATCTAAACTTTAAAATATTGAGATCTGCAATAAAATTTAAATGCATAAAAATTAAACGATTAAAACGAACATTAAAAACATGTAACAAAAGCAGCAAGCAAAAAGTAGTAGTAGAGCAGATCAAAAATTTGACTCAATATGAAAATAATAAATATAAGAAATTAGTCAAAAAGTTTCACTATCCAAATAAAGAAGAAACAGAAGAATGGAAAAGATCGTTAGTGCTAAATAAAACAAGTATCGCTATTCCTGATAATGTCCTAGAGACAATACAAAATGGACTAGATTTTAATGGACCTAACCAATGGAATGCTTTGGACATAATACCAGACATAGATCGTATATGTAATAAGTTAAATGATACAGAATCAAAAATCATCAAAATAAATTTAGCAAATAAGATTGAGAAATATATAACTAAAAGAAATGGAAAAACCACTATAAAAGATAAAAATTATTATAAATATAAAAATAATATTGAAGAACTACATAATTTTTTAAAGAACAATCGACTAGAAATAATCAAAGCAGATAAATCTAAACAAATAATTATAGTTGAGCAAGAGTGGGCTAAAAAGAAAAAACAAGAATTAGTTGATAGTAATAAATTTAGAGAACTCCCAATTGATCCCATAGAAGTAATATATAAAGAACTAAAAAATAGAATTACCAAACTATACAAACTAAACATCTTAACTAAAGCTGAAAAAGAGTTTATCCTGAACGAAAACAACGATCGTACACCGAAAATGAAGATACAACTTAAAACACATAAAGCAGATGAAACCGTCCGTCCTATAGTTGACTTCAGAAACACAACATTATATAATCTTGAGAAAATTCTAAAACAGAAACTTAAAATATACCAAAATTCTAAATTTGCTATTTATAACACTGATAAACTACTATATGATATTAAACAGATAGATATAAAAGACACGTACAGAATTGCAAGCCTAGACATAATTGATATGTATCCTTCNTGATGATATGAAACCGTGCTTTGCAATTCGTTTATGCTTCTAACACAATAAAGTGCTATAAATTAAGACACTTGGCGGGTTGTCTCATCTTTATTTAGTTGATACGTGTGAAAAAATTTACACGTTTCGGGCTTTTAAGCCCCTCTTCAACATTAAAAGCCAACTAAAACATTAAAAGAGGATATAACATATATATAAAAAAATACACAAGTTTTGTAAAATTCATAAGAATATAAACATACCTATGCATACAAGTTTTTTTTAAAAATTGAAGTAACAGCTTGAGTACGGCTGTTAACAGCCGTACTCAAGGTATGCCTTAATAGAAGATAGTTTTATAGATTCTGTAAAACTGATGTATAGTTTGTATATATGTCGTATACTCCCCTAATATTATAGTTGGCTAAAAGGAAAAAATATTGTGAACAAGCTGATGTTACTGGAAAATATCGGGAGTAGCTGTTACTTCAATTTTTAAAAAAACTTGTATGCATAGGTATGTTTATATTTTTATGAATTTTACAAAACTTGTGTATTTTTTTATATGTATGTTATATCCTCTTTTAATGTTTTAGTTGGCTGAAGAGGGGCTTAAAAGCCCGAAACGTGTAAAATTTTTTCACACGTATCAACTAAATAAAGATGAGACAACCCGCCAAGTGTCTTAATTTATAGCACTTTATTGTGTTAGAAGCATAAATAAATTCAACTAAATAAAGATGAGACAACCCGCCAAGTGTCTTAATTTATAGCACTTTATTGTGTTAGAAGCATAATAGATACTACATACCAAATTACTTAGTATCTAATCATTAATAATAGCGGATTTATAGTGCAATTGATTAAGACGATAGTTTGGTTGAATATCTATGTATTGGGTTTTGGGATGTTTAGTATATATTTTCTGGATATAAAATTTATTACTGTATTTTTGTGTGTACAACTACAACACATGATAGCATATACTATACAGAAAATTGCTAGATCAAAAATAAAATCTTTGCATTATCCACCCACCATACATCTCATACTTATAGTAGTAGTCTTTGCTCCATAGGTGTAAGTTTGTGATTGCAATTTGAAATAAGCATATAATTTGCCTATTGTGTAACTTTCCAAATTGTCTTTTAAACACAGATAACAAAGATTATATGCACAAAGATACAGCATTTCTTACCTTTTTGAATCAATTAATTATTTGATTTTTAACACCTTATTACATTATTATTATAATTGTTAAACAATAAAAAATAGATTATCATCATAAAAGTTCTAAGTTAATTGAACAAAATTATTTTAAATAATTACTTTATTACAATAAACAATCATAAAAAGTAATCTAACCAAAATTATATAATAAATATTAAATCAATTCTAAAATAACTGAATAATTAGATATATATTTTTAATCATTTATAACTTCTGGTTAATAAAAGGAATAAATTTAATTAGCAGAATTTTTTTTATTGGTATGAGATCAAATATTCAAGCTTATGGCTTCAACTCAAATTTGAATCAATGAATTTGAAATGAATTTTCTTTACTTCCTAATATGAAAAATTAATCAATAAATTTTATAAAGTATTGCAACTTAATTTATTCCTATTCGTGTTTTAAATCTTATTTTTTTTTGTTCTTCCAAAATGAAAAATCCCTCTCTTAAATTAATTTGTTTTTATTAAAATAAAATTGATCTTAAAAAAAAATAAAACTTTATGAAAAGTTGCAGTAAAAATTAGATTTTTATATAATTTTTGCAACTGATTTTAAATTGGAAAAATATTAAATTTATATTTTTAATTGTTAAAATCTAATCTAGAATCTAGAAATGCAATTCTATATATATCACAGTATATATTTACTTATTCAGAAAAGCATATTGAAAACATCATTGAAAATAAAATTACATCACAAATATCAACATACATAATATTTATAATCTAAATCTACTTTTGTTATTTAAAAATTTTCTACTGTAAGAAAATAATAAAACAAATAATAAACAAAACCAAGCAACAGACACACACATATATAGAAAGGTGTGAGTTGTAAACCTCTTCTCCTCTCTTGTTGGGAGACTGCAATTATTTTCTCTTAACAGTTCGGTATCATGAGACGAATCACAACTGGATAATACAACACTACAACTTTTTAGTGTTTTTTCAGAAACAGTCACTTCATCTTTCATGTCTGAAGCACAAGATGATTCACTTCCATCAAAGTCCAAAGAACAGGAACCAATTGACTCAACAGATGCCATTTTATTGGCCACTTTGTCTGTCTGTGGAGTAGGAACAAATATCTTGCTATGTAAACTTAATGTCTGAGGAGGTTGTATTCTCCTAGGATGTACACTAAAATAGCAAAAGACTTTTTGTCACGATTCATCACAATTAATCAGAGAAAAATCTGTTGAATATGTAAGGTTAAACAAAACTGCAATAAATTTTTAAAATTAAAATGTGAATTAGTAGTATATATATATTTATTTATTTAAATAAAGGACATTCCTGAATATTCATAAGCCTATCTATTAAACTTATAAACATAAATAAAAGTTGAAAAATAATTTAATTTATGAATTATTTCTGTATGTTAAAAACATTTACAAATAAAAAATCTTGTAAACAATCTATGTATTTCTCAAGAATTTTTTAATTTTTTCAGATTGAAAGTACAATAATTTTAGAATGGTAAGTTCATATCAAAAAAAAAATTTCAATTAAAAATCTAGAAATTGAGAAATTTAAAAAAAAAACAAACTTAAATGAGTCTGCTAATATGTTATAATTTGGAGAAAATACAAAAAGTAAAGGCTTAATAATAACATTTCTACCAATAAAAAAAGAGTTATTAAGAAATTTATTTATAATGTTAAATACCTATATTAGAATCACTACTGACTGAAATGTAAAATTTAAGATTAAAAAAAATTGTTTTTGTTTTGTTTATATTCAGCCATTCTTTTACAACTTTCTTAGTTAATAAGTATAAATAAAAACAATGATTCTTAAGAAATAGTTTTTCAAAAATAGACAAATGTTTTTGGACTTTATATTTTGGCTCCATATCTTTAACTTATTTAAATATTTTTAAAAAATAACTGAAATATTTCAGATATCCAAAAATTTGAAGATTGTCATAAAACTTTATTGTATAATTTTTTATTTTAAAACTTTGGAACACAAAATTTCTGTTTTAAAAAGTTGACAACCATATAATTTTTGGATTTCTATTTCAATTTTTTAAAAAAGCTTTGAATATAAAGAAAATATTAGAATATAAAGTTCTAAAAATATTTATCCATTTTTGTAAACATTTTCTAATAAGTGATATTTCTTTTGTTTATACAGACTTTATTTTCAAATCTATTGAAGTTTGAAATATAAAAACTTACATTGCTTAATTTAATTGGATAGAATGAACATTGTATAGAATTATATTTCACAAAAGCTATTTTCAATATTTTTACCTGAATAAATTCTACTGATTGAAAACTTCTTATAGTCAAAAGAGAATGTTGTAAAGGTTACCAGAAAAAAATCAGAAATCCCAAAAAATATATTTTATGTATTACAAGATGTCAAAGTTCATTCCTTAAGGTCTTACAGAATATTCTCTGTCATCTGAACAACTGATTTTAAGTGCCTTATGCCTGTTTTAAACATATTTATAATTATGTTATTTTGCTCTGTATTATTTTAATTACATTTTCTTTTGTTCTGAAATTAATTGCTTTTTATTAGATTTTTTATTATTTCAGTTATACAATCAATATACTATATATAAAATTTTTATAAATTACAACATAACATAGGTGTCACATGCTTTGGAAAAGTACAGATGAGCTACATAGGCTTTTTGCTCTGCTTCTGCAAGGCACTTGCGTTTATTTCTAATTAGCTTGGTCAAAAGGGACTGCTCTACCTTCGGAAGTATCCCTCGTAAGCACTCCGGAAATTTAAGCCCAAGAAATTTCTGGAGTGCTTACAAGGGATACTTCCGAAGGTAGAGCAGTCCCTTTTGACCAAACTAATTAGAAATAAACGCAAGTGCCTTGCAGAAGCAAAGCAAAAAACCTATGTATAACATAGGTGTGAAGAATATTGTGAAACAATGAAAAATGATGGAGTTGGTCATGCAAGAGTCCCTAATATATATCTTACACTCATGTTTATTGCATGCATGTGACTAATTCATAACTGTTAAAATCCTGTTGCATAGTATTTATGAAATTTTAATATTTTGTCATATTATTTCTGTAATATGCAATCTTTATATTGTTTTCAGTATTTTTTCTTGATATCATTATGTTATCAGAATTCTAATAAGAATTGACACAAAAGAATGGAAACTCTTAAAACCAAATAATCTTGTTACTATTATTATATTTTATTAAAATTTATTAAATATTTGTAGTAATAATAAATTATTTAATGCATTATTAACTGCACACACATATTAGAACAAAAATGCTATTATTTAGCATAAGTATCAGTAATGTCCACACACTAAATACATTTAAGAAAATTCTTTTTCAAAAACTACTTACAGGCAAGGCAGCAAGCTGCCAGAAAATAGCCTCCCCAACAGGACAAATAATTGTAGAAATTAAAATAAAAATACAAATATATAAGATGACATAAAAGCATTAAAAGTTTTTTTGACACTTTCAAAATTTTAAAGTGAAAATTTTTTTTACTCTTAAATCATTATTATTACAAAAATGTGAAACTTCTGATTAAAAAAAAAAAAAAACAGTATTTTAATAAATCTTTCATTTAATAAGTTAAAAAAGAATAAAGTTAAAAGAAAAGTTAAAAAACAAGTCTAAGATTTTTTGCTACACATTACATTTGGTTTTGTAATTTTTTAAACTAGCATACAATTCATATCTTTTTTTTATTAGAATATGACTATTCTAATAAAATAGTCATATTCTAATAATACAATATGACTATTTTACTATTAACTATTAAACACACATTAATATAACAAATTTTAACATTATCTTTTTTAATTAAAATATGATTATTTTAATTATAGGGGTATAATTAATGGGTATGGGTATAATATTTTAATTGATAGGAGGTATAAAATAGTCTAAAGACTATTTTATACCTCCTATCAATTCACAGTATTGTATAAAATCACAGTTTTTTTGTACAAAATTGTATTGTAAAATTGTTTTGTACAAAATTGTGTAAAATTGTATTGTATAAATTCACAGTTTTTTTGTACAAAATTTTCAAAAATATTATTTTCAGTGACAAAATGTTAATGTTTGATTAAAATTCTTACTTTGCATTGTGGAAACATGTAAATCCATGTTACTTTTAATGAAACATTTGTCACTTAATGCAGCAAATTTGGGTTTTACTTTAATTTTTTCATGTCTGTATAAATTTGAAACGCACCTTATATATATATATATTTAATATGATAATAGGATGTGCACTTTTCAAAACCAATATGTGGTACTAGTATTGGACTTATGGATATGTAACTTTCTGTTTTTTCAGCCATATTGTATTTATGTTGTTTAAAATTGCTTTTTTACAGTGGTGGTAAAAAATACTGCATCATATTTAAAATCTGAGATTTTTGCAAGTACAGTGGGTGATTGGTTAACGAACATAATCCGTTCCAAGACTTTGTTCGCTATCCGAATTGTTCGTTAACCGATTATCGATTTACCATAGGTTTCTATGGGAATTTGATTAATTGGTTCTGGAGACCCCCCAAAATAAAAAAATATATACTTTCTTACTACCTTTATTTATATGTATTGATGATAATAAAAATACATACATACATAGTCTTGCGTTTTTATTAGTCATGTTTTTTTTCTGTTTGAAAGGGTTAAAGAATCTGTCTAATGTCGATTGCTTTTCTCTCTTCTTCAGGATTTTTCGTAAGTAATTAATAGCATTGCAATTGCAGAAATCCCCAAGCCTTAACCTGGTTTGGATGCCATTCTAAGACAGTTGTTCTGACATCCTCCCACTTCTTCAAAGGATCTTTAATATAAGATATCGGCATTAATCCTCTTTTTCAGAAGAAAACATATCTCGCCGAGTTTCTTGGAGTTCTTCATTCAAGAGTTCTTGGCATTCTTCTATCGTCAGATCCATTTCGTGTTCCATTATGAACTGTTCGATATTCTTTATTTCTCAGATGTGATTTTTGTTACTCCTTTAGCTGCTTGAGTCTTCTTGATTATACAGTATGTTTCTTAAATAAGATTGAACTTCAGCCTACTGTAGACCTGTTTATGCCATACTGCCCAGCAACATTAGGCATCTTCTGCCCACTCTCTACCTTTGCTATTATACTCTCACCTTTCGAAAAGAAAAACAGACGCAAAACTTTAACGAGTTCCTACCCGACAGTCTCACGAATACATAAAATAATTGTTTTGTCAGAAAAATAAAAGGCTGAAATTACAAGGAAGAGTTTCAAAGTTCGGAGGAATAATATCCGATCGGTATATATCGGCTTGAGCGTCGATGTCGACGTCTCCCACACTCCGAAAAGTTTCGAATTGTTGCCCGAAGACAAGGGAAGACCAATCGTTATTCATTAATTTACGTCACTTCTTCATGTGTTTGTTCTGTGGGGTGTTCGTTATCCGATCATGTGTTCATTGTCCGAACATAAAAATCTTTCGCGAAAGTGTTCGTTATCCGATTTGTTCGTTATGCGATCTGTTTGTTAACCGATCACCCACTGTATTTTTAAATAATTGTGCAATATTTCACAAAAGCTGCATCATATGATAAAAATAGCAAGCTATCTGAATGAGTCATACTATTTGTGGAAGATTGCATCAACCAAAAATCTCTATAAATATGGCCCAAACTTCCAGCATGCACATTTACAACTTGGACTGCTGTGCTGCATTATGGCAAAATACATGCAACTAACACTACAAAAGAAGAGAATGGCCATTGTTTTACACAAAGAAGGACTTGCTACACGTTCCATAGCAGAAAGAATGGGCTGTTTATAGTCTACTATTGTTCGACTTCTTCGGAAGTTGAAGAGAACTGAAAGCACAGCAAGAAAGGTGGAAGTGGATGTCCACACTTATCCACAGCAGCCCAGGACAGGTATTTGATATAATTATGTCTTTGGAATAAAAGGTCATCATCATCAGACCTAAAGACAGCATGGCAAAAGGAATTGGGTGGCAAGCATCCACGTCTACCGCACAAAAATGGCTGTTTGGATCAGGTTTGGTGGCATGTCAACCCAGAAAGAAGTCTTTGCTGACTGCCAAAACCAGAAAACAGCATCTAGTATGGGCAAAAGAGCATCAAAATTGGACTATTTATCAGTGGTATTTTCCAAT